ATTATGATTGCAGGGGAGTCCATTCATCTTATACTCATCTTCAGGACAGAAGACCGACTCTCCTGTACAGTACTCCTCCAAATCACAGTCGTGAGCACTCTTTCTGCACAGGCTACCTAAATGTTTCAGCTAGAGGGGAGAATGAATGACAAAAATGAAAGCAACAATCTAATTTCACATGTATTTTCAGTTGTCTTCTTTTGGAGCCTGGTGGGCGGCTTTTCTGATACCTGGCAATTGTGGCAGCACTCTCCATGTGCACAATGGGCACCTTCGGTCAGTCGACAGGTGGAGGCATTGCAGCAGGGATTGTTGCATTCCTAAAAATCATTGATAAAACAGCAGGAACATTGATGAAAATAAGAAATGTTTCTTGAGCAGCAAATCAGCATATTATAATGATTTCTGACGGATTATGTGACACTGAAGACTGGAGTAATGATGCTGAAAAATCAGCTTTGCCATCACAAATAGAAAACCTTTATTTTAAACTGTAATAATATTTCACACTATTACTGTGTTTTTTCCATTTACTAAAACATTTAAAAATGTCAAAAATGTTTAAAAAAAATTACCAACCTCAAACTTTTGAACATAGTGAATTATAGGCTACTCAAATACACACTTCTTTTTAGTAATGTTGTGCTGTAACCGAGAAACGCAGTTGACTCATCTAGCAAATTTCAAAACCAAGATGTCAAACCTCAACAGTTCCGCAGTCACATTCTTCGCCTTTTTCAACAAAAGCATTTCCACACACTGGGCCTCCATATAGTTCGCCTTCACTCGGCACGTCTAGCAGACAGCGGCTGTCATAGTTCTGCAAAAATGTCCTCAAGGATGATTGACTGCAAGTACTGAAGGAATCAGGGTAAATATACCTGTTGGAAGAAAATGAGAGAAAATTAAGGTTCAGAGAGGAAGAGTTAAACTGCAGTTGCTTATATCTTCTGCCATTGTATAAATGTATACATTTACAATTAGCCTCACCCAATGGTATCTTCCATAATACAGCCATTGTTAGAGGAGCATCCACAGTTTCGATCATCATGTGACATACCCAGATTATGTCCCATTTCATGTGCAACAGTAGAAGCCACTGCAATCCAATTGTTATTATAGTCCTTTCCAAAGAAAAAAAAAACATCTTATTTTATTTACCACAACTTTAGAACATTAGAAATGTAGCACTTTTTAAAATACTTAATATACAAATGTTCTCAAAATATACCTGATTCACAGCACCGGAGGATGGAGCGCACATAGCATGCATTGTAGCCAACCCAACCGTTGATCCAACAAAATCTACAGCACTGAATAAAAAAAGAGAATTTAAGTCATTATATTATGTATTTTTTGTTTCAAAAATCCACAAATAAAATTTCTAAAAATAAATGTTGATAATTGTATATGGATCCTAACGCATAAAATAGATAAAATATCCAGGCTCTCACATAGATTTGATCTTTTAAAAGGCATTATTTTCAGGGCAGGGGTAGATATTAAAAAAACACCAACACATATCGGCCCAAACAGGCATTCATCAAGGTGCTTGTTTAAAATATTATTTTCTATTACTGAATAAAAATAGATGTATAAAAGCTTGTGGCGAGACACATTTTAAAGGGAACATTGAGTACAAATGTAGCATTCTCAGCACAGAAACTGATTAAGATGAGCAGTCAGTGACTCACGTAATAAAATGGGCATTGTCATGCTTCTTTCTTTTGAGCAGGCTATCCTGACGCCATTGTAAAAAACGTTCCAAAGTAAGATTTGGTACATTGCTGACATCAATCAAGTCTCTTTGAGACCAAACTTCAAGTCCGACCAACATGACACGTATGTTTAATGGTCGGTAAAGCTGAAAGTGAAAAAAGTTGTATTTATTCAATAAGTATTACTTTAAAAACCATTCCATGCAAATCCTATTATTAAATAATTTAATAATTAATCATTTTAATAATAACCAAAGCTTTTTGATACCTTGTCTACGTGATTTGCAACCAACATCATTCTTGCTTCAATTTTCTTAAAACTCCCAAACTTCTTGTACTGAAGAAAATGTAGATATTTTAACAATATGAACACAACACATTAGTAATCAAGATATTTCTTCCTTTAAACCACATTCATACCTCCGTATGATCAACGACCAAAACCATCTCAATGATCCGCTGTCCTCCACTGGGGGCTTTTTTTTCCTGAAGGACAGTTGAAAAAGTCATCGTCATAAAACTTTTAATGGTAAATGCATTATAAATAGACAAGAAATTAAACATTCAGCATAGTAATGAAATAAGGAACTAGTCCAATATTAATCAGACTTCAACAAGAGATCATTATATCATCATTATATCATACCATATATTTGTCTTTATGCAGCCCACTAGACTTAGGGCCAAAGTTATAGACTGTGTCATTAATGTATCCAAAGGCCCCTTGCTTGGTCCTTAAATGCTCTTGCTTGTAAATAGCATGGTCCCCTTCCAAAGACTGTTCTAGGGGCTCAATCAAGTAAACTTGATTGTTCACCCTCAGAAACCCTCTACAAAATAAAGAAGATACAATATTTCAAAGAGGGCGAAATGTATTATGTGTTGAAATTGTATATATAGTACAAATGTAGTCATTTACACTAGACAATGTTATCAAAAGCAACTTATTACAGGCAAAATCCCCCCAAAAAAATGTAACTGCGAAATTTATTTTTTAAATAATGAAATATATTTCAAGGTTTTTAAAATTCAGTCACCTTTAAAATTAACAAAAGTTGCTTAAAATTAACATTATACTTACTCCATTCCAGAGCAAAGTCCAACACTGACTGAAGAGTCTTCAAGATCCTGGATGTGTCCCTGATAGTAGCAGTGATCCTGAAGTGAAAAAAACAGAATACTATGTAATTTTAAGCAGCAATTTTCGCATACTAGCTATGTCAGACAGAATTAAGATGTTTTAATTTTTGAACATACAATATTGTCTGAAGACTTTGTCTCTGAAATTCCATCTTCGGTATAATGTGACATGGTGTAATGTTTTCCTAAAAGCTCCCTGTGAAAAAAATTAGGCTTATTTAGGCTGCGTGTGAATACAAGACCTCTGCATGTTGTTTAGAGCATTGGCTGTTATAATATTGTCACATTCTCACCTATTTCGTTGCAAAGATATCGTTAAGTTCCTCCCATCTACAGCCAAATCATATTCAAGTTGTTCAGGATATCTCTGAAGAGGTGAAAGCAAGCATGCATGAATAAAAGTCAAACATCCCAAGAGATGTCAGTGATATTTCAGATAATAGTGTGGAAAAGAGCGAACCTTGATAGAGGAGGCGCTCCTTCTAACTCGCTCTTCCAGTGCCCGAGGTCGGAGTTGCACCACATCATAGCGCATCACATGAGGTAAAGTTGGATTCGCAGCCTCAAGATTCTCTAAAGCAACAGTCAACAAACAAAGCATCAGTATATGTAATATAATCGGTAAATTCAAAACACATCACGCGATGTGACATGATTCGCGTTGTAAAATAATCCTCATAATGCTGTGCGCTCACCCCATGTGTAAACAAAAGAAAGCAGTGATATACATATTCCAGTGTATCGCATGGTTCACGTCCTGTGGACTTGCTCGGGGACTCGTGGTGGGCTGCTGTGGGAACTCATACTTAAAGTTAATGCTCCGCCTCAGTTAGATTTGCATAAACAATATGACCTCCTTATCCGGTAACAGTAAACTCACTCACTAATGAGTCACGGCCCAGTAAATGTACGTGTAAGTATTTGCGAGAAACAAAATATAAATAGAATACAGTTCGGTTGCAGCTCTCATAGAAAATTGTCATTATTCAGCCGAACGCAGCAGAAAATAGTGTTATCGTCCAGCTCAGTTAACTTAAGTTCTCATCCAATAGTGTCAGTGCAGTCAAATCATTGATGAATATTAAGTTTATCAAGTGTTAAGTGTTTATTACGTGAAGAATGAAACATACTAATGTATTACTTTTGATGTTTTGCTTATTAATAGGCAACAAATATATTTTAAGTGTCATTAATATAAAATATTATTCTGTGTAAAATTATGTTTCTCAATGGTTTCTGTGCCAATTCTGGGGTTTACCCGGGGTCTAATTTGATCTTTTCATTCCAAAATAAAAGCAATATTTTCTACTCCACATATCTAGAAATCTTAATGTGTCCACAAATTCCTCAATATCAAGTAGGCCTAGACTATGATAAAAAAAACTACGATATTCAAGGTAGTACAATGTTTCACTGTTATTCAGAGACATAATAAGATCAATTAACTGTTTCCACTGACTAAATATTAAAATGCTGATATTCAGATTAAATGACAAACTTAGGAAGAGCATAGCCATTAATTAGCCTAAATAAAATGTGCTGAGATGAGATTAGTCATCTCCTGAAGGATGATGTCATGGATAGGCTATGTTCGTTATTACAAAATAACGATATTGTAATATGCAGAGGATATTGCAGAAGTCTATAGTTGGGACAGAAAGTGAAATTCAAGGTCACTTTTTGAAAAAAAGTCAAGGACACTTAAAAAACGTGTTTTCTTTTTATAATCATACAAACACTTGGCCAAGGACATGAATAGTTGAAATGCATCACATGTGCTATAAGAAAAACAACAAATATAATTTCAAATTGTTATTATGTTGCCAGTAATATTTTATCTAATATATGATGGGAGCATCCAGCACAGCAGCATCTCTCAGCAATCTTATTGGACAAGCCGTTTGGAAAATGATGGATGAACAGCATTACAAGAATGACTCTACTGACATCTTGTGGTTATTTTCTGCAGGTGCAGTTTTTCTTAGCTTTTTTCTGCTTAGGTTTACAGCAGGTATTGTTTATCAGTATTTGACTATATACAGACTATCAGACTATAAGTCAGACTTTTTTCTATTCGATTGCAAGGGTTTGGCATCAAAATAAAAATGACAAGTTTCTCATGAAATCTGCGTCATCAACAGGCTTTTATTTTGAAAGGGCGACGATGACACGGAATCGCATGGCGGCGTATACGCGGAGTATGTTGACATAATGCTGCAACCCGAATTAATTGAACTGTTGGGGTCTGTAACACCAACAATTCTTGCAGATAAGATACCGGTGATTGAATATAGAAAATACGCGTGTCTTGATTTACAACAAGAAGAAAGAAGGGATGAAACTGCTGTTTCACCTTTTGGATTCAGACCTCAACGAGTTCGAATTGCTGTAGAAGATGATTTTTTTGAGGTTGGTAGATTCGATTTGGTCGACAAGAATTTTGCTTTTCCTTTTATCAATCCATAAGCATGCCAATATATCAACAATGGCATGCTTTTCTTTCAATATCTTACTTAACATAAGAGTGTCAAAGTAGGAGCTACATGACCACATGGCAATGATATTTACCAACATCAATATCCCTATGTTTCTTCATCAGGATGGCGACATACACAGGCACATGTACCTACGAGATGTCGTGACGGCAATTGAATATGATGAACAACCTCCAACGTGAGTAATGTCGCTTCACCATTGATTTGTAGTTATTCAAATTACTTAACACATCATTAATAATCATAATAATTGGTAGATCTTATTGAGATCATAATATATGCATCATAATTGTTAAAGCTATTAAATAATTATCATGTGTCTCTTCAGCTCTTAGAATGTCCTTGTATATTATTCTAGTTCAATTGGATGTGATTCTTTCTCTGTTGCTGATTGTCATTGTGACTCGCTATATTACTATTAATATTATAAGTGTAGTTATTAGTACTATCATTAAGTGATGTCAATGTATCTCATTAGGTAGGAACACCGTCTTGCATTGATAAATGTATCACTATTATCTCAAACCTCTTCCCAGTGTCTCTGAGTTTAGATGTCACATAGCTGGATGCAAACAGTTATTTGACACATTGGAAGGGTATGAACACCACTACAATTCATTGCATCGAAATGTATGTTCCAACTGCAAGCGCTCGTTTCCATCAAACCGACTGCTGGAGATACACATCTTGGAGTGGCATGACTCTCTCTTCCAGGTCATGGCGGAGAAACAATGCATGGTAATAGTACCACCAGATAGGTCATATAGGACTGTACAGAGTGATACATGTTGTTGTATAAATGAAGTGCTGTTATGTCTTTCATAACATGTTTTTAGTGGCATGTGTCAGACAATATGCATGCTAGATATAGTTTTATTTACCACTTTGATGAAGTTGATGAGAATTGGAGTGTCAATGGCAATCTTGCATGAATTATTTGGGTGTAGGCTATAGCCTACCTACCAAAGAAAATCTACTGTAAAAATTAATTGGAAGATACATTTTTTTTGCGCATACTATCTACAAATACATTTCCCGGTTTTATATTACTCTCTCACTGGAAATACTACATATGTTTTATAGAATAGAGAAAAGAACCGGCGGTAACCGTTAATTAAAATGTTTATGAAATGCTGCCACCTACTGGTTTCAACAGCAGTTTACATTAGAGTCAATGCTGTTTCATTGACTTGAAACCGATTTTAAAGGGACAAGAAATAACATTTGTGAAAGAAAATATTAGTACACTTTTCCTCCTCCCCATACACACTCTTTTTGAACAAACAAATATCATACAGCTTTGCTGATTGTGTTCTGTTCATATTGCTTTTCAGTATGAGTGCTTGGTTGATGGATGTGGATTGAAATTCAAAACAACCAAAGAAAGGAAAGATCATCTTATCACAACACATAGCTATCCAGCAGACTTCAGATTTGACAAATCAAAGAAGAGCGGAAGGTTTGAAATTAATATTGATTGTAAATTGTGGACAATTTTAGAATATATATTCTACTTTTGCACTCTATCCAGTCACCTCAGTCATTTCAGTGCCTCATACAATTACTTTTTAAAATCATTTTAAAATGTATTTTTTAAACTTAATATGCAAATCAACAGAATACGAGAAAAAAAGACTCGGCAACAGAAGGATGCACATATGGAGGTTTCTGAAACAGCAACAATACAAGAGAGCTTTGAGTCCATGGACTTCTCTCTGACCCCAGATCCAGAAAGCCTTAAGACTGCAGAAAGCAGACCAATGCATGCAGCTAATCTAAAGCCACAATATTCATACAAGTGAGTGGATTCATGGTCACGGATTCATATAATTACTTGGTTAAGTTTCATTACCCTGTAGACTCAGTGATCTGAACTATCTGTGTTGATTATTATCTTTCCTCCAGAGTTCCATCATCCATTTGCTTCGGTCAAGGCTCAGTCAGAGGCTTCAGAGGAAGAAGGAAGAAGTAGGCCAAAGCTTTTATTCAATGCAAACAATTGTCGAGAGCAGCATTTTTGTAATAAAACTTGTCAAAGCAATCTTTAAAAAGGTGTCTTCTTTCTTTGAAATTATTAATCAGATCTAAAACTTAGGCAGTTGTAATAAGAAATTTAAGTCAAATGTCAAGCGGAATATCTTAAAATATTTTCACATATATTGATTAATTAAAATACATGTTGTATGTAGGCTATTCTATTAAGTGTAGGCTATGTGCTTCGAGAGATCTAAAGATGCTTTCAACGAATGGCACATTGATTTGCTCTCTGGCTTGACACTTCAGACACAAATACGTGGAACTCATAAGACCTGTTACAAACTTTAGATGCAATGGAAGGAATGTGTGTTCTCGAATGGGTTTGACGGGGATTTGGATTTTGTAGCACTATAAAAAGGTTATCTGAAGGACTAGCATTTATAGCCTGGCTCTTTTTTTTTGTTCATTTTGATCATTTTCGTTTTTCATTTTGGTCGCGAGAGTTCGGCGTTAAGTGTTTGGTCCTTTTACTTAAATAGCCTACTGTTTTATTTATCTTGTTTTGTTTCTTAAAAAAAATAAATAAATAGGCCTAGTATATATTTCGCAGAGACACGAAGCATATTGGTGTCTCTGCGAAATGTCGTGCTTCCCATTTAGCGCTTAGGCCTATTTTTAAATTAAATGTCAGTAATCATCCATCATTAAACAATTTAATACATGGAACAATGCGCCGTTTAACAGCTAACAAACCTCAGTGAATTACTCAGTCTAGCGCTTTTTATTTAGGTTTAGGAAACGTAAGAGAGAGAAAAGAAAAAGAACTCCAGGAGGATTAGTTTGAAGTTTGTATTTTGTAAAAAAAAAAAAAAATGACATTGTACACATCAGTCTCTGTGAAGATTTATTTTTTATTCAAAAGATTATTTTTTCTAATTTGTATATACATATAAAATATACAATAATTTACAGAAGATAAATGTAAATACTGTATAAATATCAGAAATTCTATTTGTATTTTCTTCAAAAGGGCAATGCAAAATCGGTAATATACGCGTATTTACAATAATAAAAATCTAGACATTAATCTTACCACCTAGCAAACTAGCATACATGTAGTCTACTGAAGGGATTATGCCTAAACTGGCGAAAAATCAATAAACAGGCCAAAATACTCTGTATCTAACGGCATGTAAAAACGTTTGGTAGGAAAAGTTCAGTAAAATGATGGCATAATGGACGATTCTGTGTTTGTCTCCGCATTTCTCTTCAATAAAGACCAACAGAATAACAAGCATGTGAACATAAAACCGAGTAGTCAGTCAAATTAATGGGGGGGAAACAAAGAAGTGTAGCGGAACTATTGACAGATTTCGTAAATTTGTAGCTATCTTGGTAGCCTACAATCTTTGTAATATGCTACAAAATATTTGGTTTGCGTGAAAACACATGTATTCATTAAAAAAGTGGGCTCAAATTGACAATCCGTTTAGACCAAATAATTTGTCTGCAGGAATAGGCTTGGTAATGGGTAATGTCATTTATGTCATTTTTATGTCAAAAGACATTTTTAATTATTACTTCTTTTAGCATAGGCGTTTCTGCTGTCAATCGCAACAAGCTCTTTAAGTTAGAAATAAAATAAAAATAAAAATAAAAAAACGAATTATAAGGGGATTTCTTTAATAAGAGCTTTGGATCTGGCGGAAACCACACTTCAAATCTCTGATCGCAGTGTTTTCTCGCGCATCGCCCATCAACAAGTGATGCTGATCAACAAGTGGCACTTGCCAAATCGGCTGTGCCCTCAGTAGAAATAATCTCTTGGAAATTGTTTCCTCTGAGACTACAATCAGACACACTGTGACGTCTGCTGTCAATACACGACAACGTCTTCTGTAGGCCTATTCAGGGGAAGAAGATTCATTGCACTTTTAAAGCCAATTTGGGGACTCTCACTTTTGGAATAAACTGTATTTCACAAGAATAAATTCTTTTAAATTGGTATATTTGCTGAAGTTCTTTAAAGAAAACATATTTGCTATTTCACTCGTCATTTGACTGACAGAACCGCAGCAGACGGTGAACTGAAGGACGTTCTTCAGTCGGTTAAGACAAATAGTACATTCCGTAGGTCACTGGCCCACCGAAAAGTCCCGGGACTGGTAACGCAGGTCTAGCAAAGGAACTGGACGGTCCGTAGAGGGGTGGAGAACCAACGTGTGTTCCGAGTGGGAACGGAAAGGCGAACGCAGGTAGTAATGGCTTGGTTGCAAGTTTCAGTTTCTCTAGTTCGGCTTCTTGAAGCCTTTTTGCCTTCGCCCGTCTGTTTTGAAACCAGATTTTAACTTGAGTCTCTGTGAGGTTGAGTGAATTGGAAAATTCCGCTCTCTCTGCAATAGAAAGATACTGTTTTTGACGAAATTTTCTCTCCAAAGCGAGCAGTTGCGAGGTGGTAAACGGTGTCCGCGGTTTTCGGTTGTTCTTATGTTTTCTGAGGGTACACGGAGGTGGACTTGAGTGCCCTGGGAACAAACAACAAAACATTAAACATTACAATGAGAATAATTATAATGCGTTGCTTTGATAACAATGATCCTGCTTTTTCCACTTATGCTTTGCGTTTATTTTCAGCATTATCAGAAGTAGCGGGCCACGCGAAATTTAGCTAGCTTGCTTGAAATGCCTATTAAATTGATATAGGCCTATTTTTTAATCAAATACATCCACAAATTTGTCTTAATAAGGAATGCGTTTTTGCAACGCATGCAGGCTAAATTAAATTCTACGTTTGGATGACATCAAGACCTTCCTCTACACATCTCACAACAATCGTTTTATTTTCATACAAAAAGCCATTGCAAATCTAAATAAACTTTATTGTAGAAATTCATGTTTATAATTGCCATGCCCCATCACTGAAAAACTCACTTGGCGGAGAAGCGTACGTGGATGTCTGAAACCAGCCGGACTGTCCCTTGTCATTTAGTTCTTCCATATCTCCTCTCTTGCAGTCGGATAGGTTGGAGACGCTCTCCATTGGGATCTTTCTGTCTGCGTAAAGAGCCATGGGCGAGAGCCTCAGCCGCTCATCTGCACTGGATGTCGGAGATAAAATACCAGATTCAGATGACGTGTATAAAGTCCGTGTGCTTGTTCTGTCTGATATTAAAGATTCCACACTGAACGGGAGACTCTGCGCCTTGCCTTTACATCCTTTGACAGTCGCTTTATCGTTGTTTTGAGACTCCTCTTTGTCCGCACTTTTGCGTTCCTGTAGTTTTCCTTCTTGGGAGAGTGGCCCTTGAAAAGAATTCATCATGGATGATAGAGGGGCCATACAATAAGAATATGTGAGTCGTCCTGAATTGTACTCGTTCCCCAGTGCCTTTTCCTTCTGCCGTCGCGCTTTTGCGACGCCTTCCTCCCTCTCCTATAGCGCACTCGCAGCTATAAACTTCCAAAAGTTCTCTTTTTTTCCCTGCCGCCCTCCAATCGGCTTGACATTTCACCCACATGACTTTCCGCTTTCTCGTCCTGATTGGTCAAACAAGTTTCTTTGAGACGTCACAATGATTTTGAAAGAAATGTTGCATGGTTAATCATACTTGTCTTGCCGAGGTGGTTTATTGATTGCTCTGGGGGCTCCAGTCTTGGAGGCAAGGAGCCATTTGAGAAGTTTTGTTGCAATTAACCAGAGGGGATGTCTGTATAGCGGGCCTCCGTACTCATTAACTGAACTCTTATTGAAAACATACAGCGAAACAAACCACTTCCTTGGCCTCTTCATCCACAGTTTCTGGGAGATATAAAAACGCTGGATAGTGGAGATAGCGGAAAAATATTTATATTTCCACATGTGATCTATTTTGAGTTTTTTTATTCAACGTCCTAAGATAAGGCTTGTGGTAGTATTTCTTTTAATTTGTGGTTGCCTATTTATTTATTTATTTAAAGTTGCTTTTCAAATTGTAAATCGCATCGAGTCTGTTTTACCTAAAAAATATAACTAGGCTGCTATGTGTTCAGTGGAGAAAAAAAAAACGTTTAGCCTATCCATAAAGACAAAATGGCAGGACAAAATGATGTGACTGAATTGAGGATGATTTTGTCACGCTGCATTACAGCAATTTAAAGCTTGTCTTGGCCCTTTAAGAGTGCAGAAAGCCTCCATTGAGGCGCAACTGGCAACCCCTCACCGTAAGTCAAAGCATTTCATAACGCAGACAAGCCCTGTTTTGGAAGGCGCCAGTCTCGGCAAGATCAAAAAGGAAGCTACCTCAGGGAGAATATGCAACAGTTAACTCCACTTAACCAATTGTCCTCGAAGAGTTTAATGTCAAGGCAATAGCCAGAGGGCAATCAGTTCCCACAGACAGCGCGCACCACTCAGTTAACTGTTGCCTCACTAAATGTCTACTTTTAGAAGGTTTAGACTTGATCATTTTTATTATCGGAGCTTGTTGACTTTGCAGATTTCTGCGAAAGAATGAACTTTCTGGAGCTAGCCCAGTAAAGGTCAACCATACTTTGCAAAACGGATTTAGACATTTTTGCCAACAAGTTAAATTAACTACCCAATTTAAATAAGCGACTTGTAATTATATATTTTTGTTAAATATGGGCCTATTTGTTTGGTTTTATTATTAGTAGCCTAGCTTGCAAGCTTGTGAATCATGACATTCATTTGATGAGTTTCAAGACCTGAAAAAGCATATTTCTTCCAGGACGTTGAGTTAACATTTTATCTGACAAAAGTATTTAAAAAAGTAGCTTAGCTATAAACGGAAACTACTGGCTATGTCGGCTAATATGGGATGTATACAATTTATACGAAACCATTTAAGAACCACATGATTCATCGATTAAAAACTGCGGTTTGCAGTAGCTAATTCTAATTCCAAACCGTCATAGCACTTATGTTTGATATTTAAAATGTAAAATTAGGCGAATAGTTGCTGATGCAGTCTGTAAATAGGCTTATTGCGTTAAGTAGCCTATATTTGATAGACAATTTGTTAAGAGTAATGCCAAATGCATTTTCTACCTTTCAAGATGCGTGTTGTGCATGGACGTAATTGCTCTCTTTCAATCCAACAACACCGGGTGAGAAAAAAAGTGGAGTGCTTTTTCTCCTGATCCACAGTGCCTGCTCTCGATAAGGCGGTATTTCAGCGAAATCCTTGGTGAATGTAATTGCTAGGCCCATGTAACCTCCTCCCATGAGAATACCACTCCAAGTGTTCTTCAAAACCAGTGCACATATTGAAACATTTACTAAGGAAGTGGTTCTCTGATTTATTACAAAACAAAATACTGTAAGTAGTCTGTCTATGTGCTACTCATTACCCCAAAATGGCAAAAGCTGACATGGGTTAAGATGTGAAAGAACCCAAAACAACTGATATATTTATATAAATGTGTATATAAAACAGGACCTTTAAGACGAGCTATATGCCTATAGCTACTGATAACTGGAGATTTTCAAAACCAACAATAAAGTGATTTTAAAAACTATAGACTATTACGTACAATTAGTAAGCTATTCAAATATTTGCTGAGAATTTTTTTCTTTGTGCAGAATTATTAATTATAGCTACACATTTAGCTCACTTTCTACCACAAATTAATTCAGAAAATGTTGAAGTTGCCACAGAATAAATTAAATGTTCTTGGCATTTACGTGAGACATGATAGCTATTTGCTTTTAGATGCTACAAGTGGGCTGTAAAATGCTTAAGAACATCTAAATGTAGGCTATATAGCCTATAATATAGGATATAGCCTACACGGGACTAACCTAACGGCCCCACGGGTAAAAGGCTCCTTTGATTTTATTTTCCTCTAAACCTCTAGATGGCAAAAAAAAAAAAAAAAAAAAAAAAAAAAAACTTTCCAAAACATCCACTTTTCAAGATGCATGTGGAATTTTGGCTGATCCTTGACGCGATCACGAGCAGGAGCGCGAAGTTTTGCACTTGATGTAATATTTTGGGTAAGTAAATAAAAAAAAAATGTCGGTTTAATTAAATGAGAATCACTAAAATTATTGAATAGGCCTATATTTCGAGACAAAGGCCTTGTTAATGATTTTCAGTTTTGTTCAAGCTAAAGCAACAGTTTTTCATTACTGGAAAGTAGGCCAATAGTATTTGGGGTAAAAGGCGCCCCTGCTGTTGGCGCGAAAAGGACAATAATTAACATGATAAATATCTTTGACTTTTCCATTTGTTGACATGACATGGTAAGATTCAGATGGTAAATATCATTGGTGTCCACTTTAGAGAAAATCACCACATTTATTTATTATTAGCCTAATATTTATATAACTATTAATCATAAAATTTGATTTAATGTTACTGCTGTAAATCCTATATTAAATTATTGTAGGATCTCCTTCAATGCTTTCAGAATCCTTTAAAATATTGTTTGTATGTTTTGTTAAAATATATTTTATTAACATATTTAATGACAGTATTTATTGAATGAGAAACTAGTATTAACTTAGACATTATTAAAACATATTATTTTAGCTTAAGTATAAATTAAGAATACTATTTTTTTGTAAAAAATATTATGTGCCTTGCCCTATATGAGCCTTTTGTGTGAGGGGTAAACCTTGCCACCTCATACATTTATAAGATTTTTAAACAAAATAAACAGCTTTTTTATTTTATTTTCACACAAAATATGTTGCTCCATAGGTTTTCAATACAAAAATATTTTTTTCTGCAATCATACACATACTTTTTTTTCTGAAGGTGTGCCTTAAGCATGTAATTGGTACCACCAGAAGCCGGACTTGCATTACTGTACAGTGCGCCACAATGTCCTCATTATTTGTTAACAAACCAAGATATTCTTAGAGCCAGTGTCAAAGTTGATATGTTAAAAGACCACATTAAGATTTCTATCTGAAGACATCGATGTTGCCTTTTGCTTCTATATGGCCATTAAGTAATTTCCTTTGCCGTCATCTCAGGACTTTATTTCATCTCTGGGGAATTTAATGTCATGTGTAACTTTCCAATAGTCTCCCTTGACTCTCAACCTTTTTTATTGAATAATTAATTTTTCCTGTTACTCTTCTTGAGGTTAGTATAATTGCTTGAAATGTAAACACACAATGTTATTCTTTGGGGATCCCTCATGACTTGACTATCGCTCTGCCAATGGAACAATTGCTCTTAAGCAGTACAATACTGTTTATGTTAGTTCTCTGTGCATGAGTTCAAAGTTTTGCAAAGATCTGATTCTTGATGGAATGTTTGCCTATGTCCAAGGGGGGTTACATAGATTTCTCATGCATCCTTAGCTTTGATTCTCATGTTTAAAAAAATAAAGCCAAGCAGAATTCTATGCTGATTGCTGAGAAACCCTTGTGGTTGGAAAAGGCATCTTTTCAAAGGGAAAATTGTTGGGAAAAGTTGTGTCACTTATAAAGTGGTACGTTTTTGTTTGCTCCTAGTTCATTGGATGTAAGTAGACCTAAGTGTTCGAAAACAGAAAAAAAACATTATAGTTAAATAAATACTTCAGATTTACTTGTCTTTTTAATGCCAATTTAGACTAATAATTCAGAATCATGCCAATATCTGGATGATGCAATAGTATTCATACACAAATGTGTGAAGCATAGTTGAAGTTCAAGTTAAATTGCCATCATCTTGGCCCAACTGACATTAATAGTTCAAGACGTTTCATACCCTCTCCAGCCATGCTGACATGCTGTATGTTGAGCCAATCGCAGATGTGTAGTTATGCCATAGTACCTCACACACACACACACACACACACACACACACACACAGCCTTTATGAAGTTTAAGGTCACAGAACTATCTCATCTCTGTGGTTTTACAGCTCTATTTTGTGATCTCATCCTAGCATGTTAGTGTCTTTCTGATCTGTGCCTCATTTCTCTTTAGACCATGAAAACCTTTGAGAAAGCTATACTTCTTAAAATCTCAGACTGTCATCTTCACAGATTTCCATCTTCATAACCAAGTCTATGCTTTTCTGTAGTCACCGCTAAAATGGACCGTCTATAAACATTAAATCTTGAGGCATATCCGTACAGATTGTATTGGCATCATGTTATGATAATCATAGGCATTTAGACGATCAAAGAAAATCCTTGCAGAGGTTTCAAAGGGCACAAGTAACCATTTTAAATGAGATCAGTGTTTTTGAATACTCCAAGGCACAGAACTTGAACTTTTGGCTTCAAGGTTTTTGTTTTTTAATCAGATCTTGTTCTGTGGATAATACTTTGGCTTGTCAAGATCAATTTACATACGCACATTACAGTAGTGCAGTTTTGAGCGTTTTCATCTCTGTGTCAAGCGGTGCCTTGGTGGGGTGCAGTCTCTCCATGGTTCTCCTTAAATTTGGCTACTCTTCAGCCTATTGTGCATATA